CCCTGCATCCCGTGGCTACGATGACCTCGTCCTCGCTGCTCCTGGGGAGGGGCACGGCAGGCTCCGGCTGCACTTCCACTGCGGGACAAAACCGACATGGAAAGGGTTATTTTAGGAGATTACCTGCTCCTGCCAGAATCCACAGCCACGTGGGAGGACAGGCAGAGCCCTGGGGTGTTATCCCTGCACATAGGTTGGATCCCCACCCTGGAGACCTGGAATGGCTGTGCAGTGGACTCTGCCATGTGCCAAAGGGACTGGGATCTCTCCCAGCCTGATTTAACCCCACTCTGAGCAGTGAGCACCCCATGCCTCTGGTGATGTCCTTACCTGCCTTTGCCTTCTCCTCTGCCCCCTCCTCCTGCCGCTGCTGGTGGATCTCCTTGTGCTGTTCCTCAATGACTGCCAGCAGCTTTGCCTGCTGGTCCAGAAGCTGCTTCTGCTGTACCTGCTGCTCCTTGATCACCTGCAGCAGCACAGCATGGTCCAGCAGTTTGGCCTGCCCTGCTTCTGGAAAAGGAAAAACAGAGGGAAATAAAACCTCCATGACTCAAGAGCCCTCAGAAATGGTGTCTGAGTGCTGGAGGGGCTGCAGGGGCTCTTTGGCAGAAAGATCCAACTCCATAAACCCTGTCCTTGTGCCAGAAGGAGGGAAGGAGCTGGAAGAGGATGGGATGAGAGTGAGGGACCTGCACATGAGCCTGAGCTTGGGCTCCAACCACTCTCACCAGGCAGAGGTCGAATGGAGCTCAGCCTGAGGAAGGGCTCACTGCACCAGCTCTGATGTTCTGGGGATGGAGCAGATGAAACTTTGGGGGGAAAGAGCAGATAGGGCTTTGCTCTGATCCCTGGAGTGGTGACATGCCCAGGTCTCCCCGCCACAAGGCCATAGGGCAATGCCTCCTGACCTCCCACTGTGTTGCCAGGGGTGTTTCACTCCCATCTCTCTCTTGCCAGGGCTCTGACTCCAGGGAGCAGCCAGAACTGGGTGCTAACACGACTCAGGTCCCTGAGTGACCCTGCCTGGTGTACCAGAGGCCTGGGGACAGGCACTACCTGCTGCCATCACAGAGGTGACAACGGTCCAAGGCCAAGAGCAGTGTTGGCAACACCATCCACCCACAGAGGGGGATCCCCCTCTGTGTCCTCCCCAACACTCACCCCCGAGTTTGCTCTCTGTGTTCTCCTGTTTCTCCTCAGTATTCCTGTTCTCCAGCGGTTCTGCTCTGTCTGGGAGGGGCAGCTCCTTCTTTTCACCTGTAAGGACACCAGAGCTTTACTGCCAGTGCAGCTGTTCCCTAAAACACCTCTGTGCTGTGCCTCCCTCCCTGCCCGCACTGGGTACGGTTTGTATCCAACCCGAGGGCTGCGAGGGACGCAATCAAACCCAATATTTAACAATCCCAGCCTGGTGGCAGTGAGCCAGCACTAACTACCTCGGCCAATTAACATGCAAGAACAGCTCTAACTGGCTTTTAGACGGGCACTTGGCAATGTGTTCCCTGTCAAGATCTCCCGGCTCCACGTCCCCGGTGACTCGGGAGCTGTGCAGGAACAGCATTGGCACCTGACACGGCGGCGGGGAGAGAACAACTGTTTGACAGCTCTTGCAGTAGCTGTCAAAGCCACCAGATTCCTCCTTTCCCCCAGCAGCTGCCGGAGGGGCCATGCACGCTCACGTGTTTGCCTCGTGGAATTAAAAGAAAACATTGGGACGGAGGTGGGAATGACCAAATTGTGCTGTTTCCAGCAGGGATTACAGGCTCAGAGGAGTTTGCTCGGAGAAGCTGCCACGGAGGAGCTTACCAGGGTCTCCTTCCTTCTCTGTGGACTTCCCAGCCTCTTCTTTCCTGGGGAGTTGGAGCTGTGACTTCTCATGGTCACCTGCAGCCTCAGCAGTGTCACCATCCCGTGCAGCAGCTTGTGCCTTGGCTTCCAGCTCTGCCTTCCCTGGCTCCAGCTCCTTGTAGGGTGGTTTGCCATCGTGCTGTCCTGCTGCCTCCGGGGCCTGCTCCACGTTCCGCACAGGCTCCGCAGTCCCTCCCTGCTGCTGGTGCTCAGCAACCACCTCCTTCCCTTTCCTGGGGTCTGGTGCCTCGTGCTGGGGGTTCATCCTGGCTGGCTCCCCCAGCACATGCTCCTTGGCTCCCCCAGGAGCAGCTTTGTCCTCCTGGGACTCCTCCTGCTCCCGCCCCATGTCCACCACCACCTCGTCGTGCGGCACGGGGGGCTCGTGGCGATGTGCCTCCCCCACGGGCAGGGCAATCCCTGGGGAGACAGCCAGGGTTAGGGGCTGGAGCCAGCAGGCTCCCACTACACCCAGTCCACCCAGCTCCCTCTGCCCTTACTCATTCCTGCCTTTCCTCCCTGTCCAGAGGCCTTGAGAGCATCAAACACTAAATCACCCTCAGCCCACCAAGTTCACCACAAAGGGAGGAGCGTAAGGAGCAGAGATCAAGATCTGTATCCTAAATAGTCCCACAACATCCCCTCCCCGAGCTCCCAGCCTGGCTCCTTTCCCAGGATCTCCATTACCTTGGTCAGGACGGTCCAACTGCACTTTCTCCTCTGCTTTTCCTCTCTCCTCCTCCCTCTTGGGCACCTGCATGGGCCCCTTGATCTGGGGCTGCTCCATCTCCTCCTTCTCCTCCAGCAGTTTGGGTTTATCTCGGTCATCTTCGGCCTCCTCCACCACTGGGTTCTGCTCTGCAAACACAGCACAGGGACAGGGATGAGGTGTGGGATCCTGGGAATCAGTGTGTCCATCCCAACCCAGCCCAGGCACTGGTTTCCCTCCAGTCTTAGCACGGGGTGGGTGGAGAGGGACTTTTGTTCTGGGGTCTTATGGTTATTTTCCCTGCGGTGAGTTTTTAAGGAGCTGCTGGTAGGGAGGAGTGGTCGGGATAGAGCCGGGAAGAAGCCGGGAAGGAGTTGGGAAGAAGCCGGCTGTGCTGCGAACTGGTGCCGCCAGATGGTAGCATCCCCTCGGCTCCCCGCGCCGGACCCCCGGCACCGGGAGAGACCGGGCTGGGATCCCTCCCGGACCCCCGGCACCGGGAGAGACCG